AAGTAATTCAATAACCTATTTTGTTCTGGACATAAACTGCTGTGGATGCTGGGAGGAGGCGGCACTGAGACAAGAGCACGCAGAGCAGAAGGGAGAGAATTTTCTCCTCTAATGGTAATTTAATTGGAATACCAGAGGAAAGCACCATCAGAACTTATCAACAGCCAAGGCATGTTGTTTTTAATTTGTTGGAAGAAATTTTTTAATTTGTTGAAGCTTCCGAATCAAGAACGTCACAAAAGCCACTGTATCCAAACCTTTATTATTAACCTTATATTTTTGTCCTCCTTCTTATTTCTAGGACATCAAGAGCTTTAATAATCCCTCTCAAAGAAAAAAACTACCAAGAAATACATGAAACTGTCAGCTTAACAACATTCAAATGACCATTTTCATGATTTCATTGTAATTAGTATAACAGATTTCCACATTTCCAAAACTGTCCCTTGTATCTGGGCTTCTCCACTGTTCATACAGTCACTTTAGCATTCGCCTTGACCACAGTGGTGTTGAGAACTCCCTTTTTATGAGCCAGTTTAAAGTATTGTTTTCCAAAGTCGTTCCTCTATTAACACCTCCGGTTTTTCCACCATTCTTCCGCCTCCCCCTGGCCTGTGCTGCCAAGCTGCTTCCTGAGCGAAATGTGGGTAAAACCTACGCTTACATTATGTTGTCAGATTACAAGTAACAAGCTGTGTCTGTGCTGTTAGTCGATTACTCACACCCTCATCAGGCCTGCTTGTTTGCAACCCTATGCTCATTTGCGCTGCCATTAGTAAACTACATTAGGTTATTATTGAGCTGAAGTGGCTGCGCCTGTGTTTATAAATTTACACTCTGTTAATAGATTACCCGGAGGACTTTCCACTCCCATTGCTTCCATTTGCCCTGCTTAGTGAATCAGGCCCTTAATGTAAGTTGATTTTTCCATTAATTTGTCATCCAGAGGTACGTATCCTTCCCCCTTCATGTACATTGGTATGACCAGTTTGCTGCTAGCCCAGCGCGCATTACCGTGCATTCCTGCCTGGATTTTCAAACAGGTAAAAAAATGAAAGAAAATAATGCAACTCTGCATCCGTGCTGAGACAAATAGACGTAATTTTTTTTTCCCTGAGCTGACTAATGACACGAGCTGCCGGAGCTGCTAGGAAGCTATGTTTCAGAAAAACTGCACCGAAACTAGTTTTCACTGACAAACAGCTATACAACAGGTGTATGCACTCCTATGGACAAAAGAGAGTGGGGTAATGGAAATTAGCATCTATGCAACGGCAAGACATCAGGGGCCAAAATGAATTATGCTGGTGCATCAGTGAGGGCAGGAGAAGACAGGCAGGGGAAAATGAGCCCATTACAGGAGTGTAATTAGACAAATGAAAGCACAATGGATTACAAAACCTGACTGAGGTAATAAATCATTCCTGCGCGCTTATAGGAAGTACATGACAGAGTGTCAAGTGTCTAAAACCCACTATTCAACCTACGAAGCACTGTTAAAGTGTCTCCACGCTGACCCATTGCATGGCTCTTCCTCCAAATCTATTAAATGACGGAGAGAGGCAAGTGAGAGGAGGGGCATACTGTTGCACGCAGCGGCTTTAACGAGTTTGCTTCTTCGCGCGCTAGTCCTCAGGGATTGGCTCCCATCTTTACGTGGGCGAGCAGGTGTGAATCTCCATCCTGGCAGTGGGGGAACAGAAACGGAAAAGGAGGGAGGGAGGGGCGGAGGAGAGGTGGATTTCCACCAATTAAGGCTGAACCAGAGTCTTTCTGCCTTTAATCTATAATTGGATGCATGACTGTTCATGTTCATGAGACTGGCTGAGTGAATGCCTGTAAGCAAGCAGCGTTTGGTTGGAAGGAGAGAGACACAGAGAGAGAGAGGGAAGCAAAGAAAAGACGTATGTGTATTATAAGCAAAGCTGACATCAGGACCCCAATTAGAGGCCGGTGTGCTTTGCTGCTACTGGTGGAGTGATCCTGATTGAGACAGCAGTGAAGAGAGTGTGAGCAGGACAGTAATTAAGGCACCATGACTAGAGCCTTAGATGATGTGCTCCCCAGAGTGTAAATGTAAAAAAGAAAAAAAGAAAGAAAAAAGAAAGAAATACACATGACAAGCGAATGATGAACAGCAGCACAAACACAAACACACACACACAAAATGTGCAGCCTAAACATGCTTAAAGACTCTAAAGGATGGGAAACGTGTGGGAGGAAGGGATACACAGTGGGACACAGTGTATATCAATAAGCTTTGATGGAGAAAAAGGGACCCAGGTATTCGCTCATTCTCTCAAACTGATTTAGTCAGCCATAATATCTAAACAAAGTCTACTCATCTATCCTGCCACAAAAAGGCCATAGGAAAAAATTATTTGTCCAGTGAGAACACATTGGAGATGTGATCAAAAATGGTGCTAAAGCAAACATTCAGCGAATCAGTTAGCGGAGAATTAATTAGGGAAAAATGAATTGTCAACGATTTTGTTAACTTCAAAGTGTCATTGCTTAAGTTATTTATCAAGACAATAAACATTAATAATCTGGGTCTTCCAGTATTGCAAAGGTCAGAATTTGATCAGAATTTGATCAAAAGCAAGTTACACCTCCCATCACGATACTAGATTGGCGCTACATCATGCTCACGTACCAGTATCCCCTAAAAGAGCTGGAATTTAGTTTTTGGGTTTCATGTGGTTTATTCTTGACTAGCTAGCACCCAGGAGAGAACCACTGCTGTGCACCGGGTATTTTTAGTTGTCTTTGTGAGTTTATTCTGCAGGCTGCTGTCTGTTTAAATGAAAACTCATTATATATTGATTTCAGATTCACGGCCAGAATTCCAGGAAACTTAAACTTACATTTTTTTTCCTTCTTTTTTTTTTTTGATGACTTTTATTCTTGGATAGACTTCATAGCTTCACAGCTCTCAGAATTCAATTGTTGGAAAGACATGAGATTTCTCAGTACTAATGTCAACATGACTGGAGTATTGTCATTTCTGATGTCTTGCTTTTAGGAACAGAAACATGAAAATCAACATAAAATGCAGTCCAAAGTCACAAAGACTGATTTCATTTAAAAAAAAAAAAAGTTTAGACGAAGAAGGTGAAGAACATGCACTAATCCAATTTGTACCTCTGCTGTCCTATTTCTACATTAAAAGTTAGATATCTGATGTTGCAGCCATCAAGTCAGCGGATCACTTTCTAATAATAATCTGAAGGAAATGTGTTAGTTTCCTGCTTTTGTATCCACCCCTTTGTACAAACTCTAGTGCAATAAAAGCCACCATAAAGAGCAATCAGTAATGTTGGTTCGCTTAAAATGCTCCTCATACTTTATCCATACCATCCTTGGGTTTCCTCCAGTATCATTCTACTGTCATAGTCTGTCTGTGTCGATCGCAGCCAGCCAATGCATTTACAGAAGCCCAATTAAACTGACGTCTGTTTCCTTGACAGCCCATTAAGCTCCTGCCTGAGATGAGATGAGGCCGAATCGCTTTACGCACTTGTGTACACAAGCGTGATGAGGAAATGCTACTCATTACCAAAAGCCAGAGAGGAGGGTAGAGAAGCCGTTTGGTCTGTGCAGTTTTTGGAAGGTTTAGCCATTTGTTGAGAAGTCAGACAAACAGACTGTGGCAGAAAAAGATTGAGATACAACTTCAGAAAGAGAAAAAGAAAAAAGATTCCATGCGAGATTACAGTGCGAGCTGCCTGCCATTCATCTGACCAATTTCCCTTGGCAGTTCTGAGCACTTAACCTTATGACGGAGATAAACTGCATGCGTGTACACAAGACACACACAAAACCTTTTAGTAACTAGAATTAATAAGCCCTAAAGCAAGCAAAAGGAGAGTCTGGCAGAGAAAATGGTCCAATTACTTGTATCACACAGGGCGTTTAGAGTGGCGGAGGTCTGCGCGTCTGAGGGGGGATTGGAGGGAAAATACCGAAATTCAATCATTTCAGTTTTATCCTATTCACAGTTGCTTTGTTTTCATTTAGTGCCCCTGTGCTACCGTGATTTTCAATCAGAAGCCATGACAAAGGCTGAGTGGCGCACGGCGAATTACAGGCATTTACACGCGGCTGCACCATTTTCACAGCGCTAACGTTAACCGGCTAACACCGGATCTTTTTTACGTTAAGGGCAAAATGTCGCGGGCTTATATCGAGGCGGAGAGCCAGGTGGGTGGATAAAAGGCATGCCGGCACAATTGGTGGCATCTTCAAAGTGATGAGCTTGAACGTGGGACTACACTAAAACCCCAAAATACACTAGACATTCTCTCTCCCAGCAAACACAGCAAACAGAAACAGAGCAGACTGCAAATGAACATGAGCAGAGACATTCTCGCCCCTTTTCTTTTTGAAAAGGGGCGAGAATATTCATACTCTGACCTCAAAACACCAACTAAACCTGAATTTCTCTCCTCTGTTTATCGCTCTTTCCATACTTCTCCCATCTAACCTTTTAGTCTTCTTTCTCCACTTCCGCCTGCCTTCCATTTCAGGAAAGCAGCTATAACTGGCTTGTCAGAGCCGATAACTGTAAACACCTCGGTCTCTCTTCACACTACACTACACCACATCCTCAAATGTTATTTCAACTTCCTCTGCGGCTCCTTCCTTACCGTAATTATCCTTCTATCTTTCCTCCTTTGCAATCCCTTGTATGCTTCCACCCTCTATTTGCATGAATAAATAAATGTGTGTCAATAAAAGAGCTCTGTGAGCGGGAACAGCCCGTAAGGCAGAAGCCTATTTTTTTTTTTGTCAACAGCATCAAGCAGATGCATGCGAAAGGTTTGTTTTGTTTTGCGCTGCTTCAACATATGGGCACATAACTCAGAAACTGCTGCATTTCTACTTGACACCTGCTCCCAACACGTTCATCATCTCCATCTGCTGTCACAATTTACTAGACGAGTGACAAATTTACCGACACGGCGAGTGAACGCAAGGAGAAGTTAGCCTTCACTCACCTCTTTGCACCAGCATGGTGACCTCACTGCCTTTGGGACACTTGCTGAGCAGGTCAACCACCTGGTTGTGGGACATGCTCTGCACATTTCTCTTGTTCACCTCCACGATGATGTCGCCCTCCCTCAGGCCGCGGCAGCGTGGGTAGTCCACGATCTGTTTCACTCTTTGCCCCCCACCCCCGGGACTGTCAGCAATGGTGAATCCGAAGCCCTTGTCTCCTTTCTCCATGTGTACGGTGATGAGCTCTGGCTGCGTTGCGATGGATGAGGCCAGGGTGACTACATCACTAGGGTAGCCATGCTGGGAAGAGGTATCAGAAGCCACCTCTGTGGAGGGGCTGTGGGGTCGGGGGAGGCCGTTGACGGGGACCCCGCTGTTGGTTGGACCATTGTTGTTGTTCTGACTGCCGTGGCTGGACGGCGAATCGTAGCTGTTAGAGGTCTCCTGGCCGTTAACGATGATGGGCTCCTTGTTGTCAAGGATAGCCACTGAGGTAACCAGGCTGGTGTTTGGGTCGTCGGGGTCAAAAGGCAACGGGTAGCCACGGCACAGCTCCAAGTTGACCATGGAACCAATTGGAATCGATTGGAAGATCTTCACAACTTGAGCATGGGTGTAGCCGAGCACACAGGTGTCGTTGACGCTCACAATCACATCACCTTAAAGGGGTGAGAAAGAATGAAGTCCATTTATTTTTGTCAAGTAGAAAATCCATCCATCCATCCATCAGTATCCAATTCAGGGTCACCTGATGCAGCTACCCTTTGTTAATAATAAATACAGGATACTTACCAGTCTCCATCTTGCCATCAAGGGCGGCAGGGCCATCTAGGACTAGGCTCTTTATCTGCAGGAACTCATCTGGCTCATCCCCTCCCACAACAGTAAAACCAAACCCCCTACGACTCTTCTTCAGTTTGGTATTTATGAATGTCCCCTTCAGCTCAGATCGGTTCCTGGTAAAGAAAGGCTTCCCTCCTAAAAACACAGACACAGATAGCTCAGCTTTCACCACACTGGATGCCACAACAGATACTCAAGAACTGGGTTAAGCAGTAGTTGAATTCAGTTTGCAAAGCCCTGGGGCTACTAAACCTCCTCAGGTAAAGAATTATTGCTACAGTGAAGAGTCTTTGCTCGCTTGTGTCAAACCATCTCTGCGCAACCATCGCAGCAGGTATCATTAAATGCACAACAAATCTTCTGATTGGTGTTTGTCTTGAACAGGCAAGGACAACTGTCACTGCTTGACGATTGCTCACATGGTGCAAACAGGTCAAAACAGACCTATTACAATAAAATGATTAATTAGGTTCAAGGGAATGAACAGAATCATAAGCATCAAGTAAAACTGACGGCTTAACTGATCCCATTTGGCAACTACATTAAAGGTTCATATAGAAAAGACTGAGTATGGTTGAATGACTTTCTTCAGCACATGCAACTCAGTGAAACATTGAGTAAGACCGGAAATAAGAAGCCCGAGTATAGACATGCAAAGCCTTTAAATCTGAACTCATCTACTGTCATCGCCACTGGAATCAGTCCATATTAACTTTTTGATAATAACGATCATTTATTACTTATAATTTTAATTTACAACGTGATGATGTGATGGGACAAAAACAGTTTAGACAGGAACTTATTTCAAAATAGTATGACACTTCAGCTCTTTGTATGTCTAATATGCAGGCTGCTGTTTGCTTTCACTGGCGGTTTGGCATTTGAAGACACAACAGGCGCACCAGATATCTGTAGCCTGAATAGCAATGACATTGCTTCAGATGAAGGTCACATGACCGTCGTGTTCGCATAAGCGATGTCTCCGGCTTGTTTCAATCAGCTGCTGAAACCTCATCTGAGAAGACATCTGTATCACTCCACACTGGTTGTGAGGGTTTAACTGAGACACATCTAAATGAAAAAAATTTGACAGTGATCTTGTGAAAGAACAACTGCTCAAACGACATCTAAACTCGACTCTCTTTTTCTTGACTTTGCTATCTAAATATACGGCATTAAGGATAAAATGTATCCTTTCTATCAGGAATGAAAAACAAACATATGAATACACAGGCACAGGCTGAGCTCCGCTTCTCTATTAAAGGACACGATGCATGCCAAACGCACAATACTTCGGATACACAAATGATTGAGAAGATGTTGGCAGAAAAGAAAATAAGAAGAGAGAGGATGATGAAGACTAAAGGAACGTCTGTGTGGTGACCTGCAGCACCACATTAGGTTATGGCAGCGCTACAGCTTACGCATTCAATGAAAAATGCATTACCCTTGGAGTCGGTCTGTGCCCTTGTGTTTTATTGTCTACGTGCATGTGTGTTTTCATGCTCAGTGCCTTTTGAATTGGATTTTTTTCCCCTAGACTAGGGAAAATGTAACTAAACTGTGTGCTGATATGGGTGGCTTTATCCACCAGGGATCTAGAGATGTAAGAACAGACCAGGAAGCGGGAGGAAAATAAAAAGCAAGTGTGTTAGATTAAAAGATTTCAAAAGTGATGTCTTTCTATGGAGTAATATGGAGTGCCGGCACAGTCGAGCTAGCAGGAGTTTGAGACTGGGGGTGTGGGGGGAGGGGTAAGACAAAAAGATGGACAGCACCAAGCACCTAAACCAAAGCAGAAAGCTGGGTGGGACCAGACAAAAGGCAGCGAGACGGCAAATGTGCGCTATAAAATAAAGAGATTGATGAGGGAGAAGGAAAAGGCTGCCGACAAAGCAGCGAGAGAGAGTAAGAGGGAGAGACAGGGTGAGGCAGTTAATTCTCTGCCATGGCTGTGCTAATTAGACAAGCTGCTAGTGGGAGGCCGGTATAAAAGGAACTGGCAACCAGGAGAAGGAAACCCACTGTAACGGCGAGACTCTCTATTTGTGTGTGTGTGTGTCACTAAATGATGGGTGAAATCAGGCCATTATGTGGAACAACACAGCAGAGGTTTCCTGAGAATCAACACGTTGCCACGATAAACACAGGCAGAGGGACATTTATGGAAGGGCACTCGGCAGAACGTGTCTTCGTAAAAGTATGCAGACTGGACGAAATTTTGTTCAGTGCACGTGTCACGCGAGTTCAATTTGACTTATAAAAAATGCACGATGTGATTTATACAGAGAGCAGCTTTACGGTGTCAGTTCAGTTCTGGTCCTCCATCACGACAACTCAAACAGGGCCCGAGGCGCTGGCACAGGAAAACAAACTAAGCTGTAAAAGATGAATTTTGTTTAACTTATAATAAGTCGCTCTGGGTAACGCCGCCTGGAAACAAAAAAGTTATGCATAATCCTCATTTCGCTTGGTTGCGGGCTTTAGCGCTCTGAGGATGACAACTTACGTTTTTGTCCCATCGCGTTGGGCACTGCGGGCCCTGTCTGAGGGTCCCTGTAGGTCTCCTGGTGGTTGGCAGCATAGCTAGCCAACGGAGCCCCTGCCATCGTCGAGTCTTCGATCCATTCTGCAACAGCGAGAGGCACATATTCTCGAGATGGAGTCTAGACAGGTGCAAAGTTGTCCTACTTGAACGAAACTGAGGCTAAGACAACACGTCCTGCTGTGCTGTGTGCTTGCAACAAAGCAAATGCAGCTCCGATGAAGCCGACAGAACTACTGTGCAGCGTGTTAATTACAGCGGATGAAAGATTGATGTGAAGCCTTCTACCCACTACAGATTCATGTTTCACTACTGAGCTCAGTATGAACACAAGCATTAATATGGTTTCGCATCTCTCTTCTCAATAAAACTGGTGGTGTGGGAAACCAGAACAACTGATTCCCTTTCTCTTGACTGCCTACCACCTTTGATTAATCACCTTGCTAGACTGCAGTTTGTCATAATATTCATAACAGATAGATGAAGTAAACACGTGTTTTTTTCATTTTTATCTTTTGCAGAGAGATTCATCCTTCAATTGGGGGGGAAAAAAAATCAGCATGTGAATCTAATGTTTTATGCTGAATGAGCAGAATGTGGAGTGCAATAGGAGAATTCCCTCTTGAGTTGACCTGCATTTGCAATTAATTTCACTGTAGGGTGTCCTGTGAATATGCAAAGAAAGGAGGGTAAGAGCATCACTGAGCTACCCATTGCTTGGTTTTGGGCAGCTGTCTCAGAAGAAGTGTTTGGGAAGAGTTCTTATTAGTGTTACAACTGGCAGCAATTTATTAAGTAACACAAAATTAAGGGTCTCCACTCCAGCTCTTAAGCAGGTAGGTGGGAGCCAAACTTACCTGTCGCTACCTTCGTCCAATTTATAACAAAGCAAACAAGAATCAAAAGGTAGCACAGAAAACTGAAATTAACTTCAAAAAGGCTGCGTGGTGCAGCCGCAAATAATAGTTATGCCTTTATGGGAGGGCACTTAGCAAATCATAAGGCAGGAGCTGGCAGCAAAAATAAAACTGTAGCAGTAATAGGCATTGGCAGATAAAGTCACACTCGCTCATACTCACACAGACAGACACGCAGAGCATGCAGGCAACTCATTTATACACATGAATAAGAAAGAAAGAAAATGACGCCCCCGGTGGGGGCTTGTGAACGAACCTCGGATGTAGCGCTCACCTTCAGGTGGCTGCTGGCTCTGGGGCTGAGGCTGCTGAGGCTGCTGCTGTTCCAGCTGCCTGCGCTTCTTAGCCTCTAGCACCGGATTTTCATACTGGGTCTTCCTGTTGATATGACTTTGGGACGGTGGACGGAGTGGATGAAAAGAACATAAGAATACAGAACAAGATGTAAGGGGAGGGGGTAAAGATCAGCAGGAGAGCACAGCAGGGACACGGAGAAGAGGATAAGGTAACAGCGGAGCGGGAGAGGGTCAACAAAGGGCGAGGGGATTGGGGTGGGGAGTGGAGAAACATGGCGATAAGCTTTGATTAATACATGGTGGCACAATGCACACACACCCACGCTTACACAGAAACCTCTCTTTGAGATGCACATGACACAGCCGTGCCTACAAATCACATCAAATAAATCCTTTTGTGCTGATGGCTTAATTTCGCTGAAACCACAAACATCTTTCACATTACAGCCTGGGAGGTTTCCTACTAACCTAACTAGCACTGAAAAATGGAACCTGAAAGCGCCACATTATACAGCAAATGAAGGAAACTGTGAATAATGTATATTAGAAAAAATATTGCAGAAACAAAGAGAGAGGGGGTGGGGGGTGGGGGGGGAGAAATGCCACAGCCTTGGGCCCACAGGTGCTGCTTTGAACAACAAAAAAAAAAACAAACTAAAAAAACCTGCATGAAACATATTTGTATTAATGCTGAGGCCCCAGGGCGTCACACAATATGAGATACGCACATATGTGCTCGCACAAACACGCTCGCTGCGTATTTTTGTTCATTTTTTTCCGAATGTTAATGACACAAACAATGGCCTACATTTTCCAGGACACAAAAGGACTGAAATAGCTGAAGCAAGAATCTGGCTGTGATCTCTTCCATTAGCAGTCAGGTTAAGAGTTTTTGTTGCTTGAAAGAAAAAAAAAAAAAGAAATGTGTGGATGTACTTCTATTTATGCACACGAAGAAGAAGCTGGGAGCTATTTCTAGATTTTTCTGCGACGTCAGCCTGTGCACTTACTCAACATAGTAGACTCCATACACTGGATCATCTATTTTCTCCCATCCTGGAGGAAGTTCTGTAAAGAAAAAAAAAAAGATAATGAGACAAAGGAAGTAAGTAAATCTTGACTCGCAGGAAGCCGTGTATTGAGCCATTTGAGGCAAAGCCAGGAGAGACCTTTTGCCACGTCATTGTAATCGGCCCGTCAGTCAGTCTCCGAGGCCAGAGCAACTCAACAGCTTCACAGGCTGTCTGGCTGTTCTCACCTCTGTCCCACTCACAATGCTGACATTTCCACCCATCAGATAAGAACAGAGCAAGACCCCCATGGGCACAGGTGGATGTATGAATGCGGGAAGGGGGGTAGAGAGATGAAAGGCACATGAGAAGGAAATCATGAGAAGGCAGTGGACAGGAGCACGGGAAGTGGGAAGAAATACAGGGAAAAAACGGCAATGAAGAAGAGGCGGGTAAAGTTATAAATGACAGGAAGCAGGTGGAAAATTCCAGGCTTAGAAAGCTTTGTGCAAAATACATTGAAGCTAAAAAGACATGTACTAAATTCTGTGAGATGATTGGTTGGTTTCTGAATGAACGACTTCTCTTCTTTTCTTTCCCCTCATACAGAAGAAAAACAACATTGTACAGAATATCACACAGAAACACACGTCTCTAATCAGTGCGCTGGAAAGGTATGGTCGAAAAGTACCTGTCCTTGGCTAAACAAAGGCACCGAGGCTCTTTAGTTTTCACATGGATCGCTAAGTGTCTGGTAGAGATTGTTGCAGATTTTACTTCACATTGGTCTCTTTGTGGGCAGAATTAAAACCGGCTTGAGTAGAACTGAAAGGGACACTGTTCACACTGATGTAAGCACACGTGTGCGAGCGCTAAAACACGTGAAAAGGTAAAACTCAAAAAGATGACCATAGAAAGACATGAATATGGTGCCAATGTGCAATCATCCAGTGGTGCAAACTTGCTGCAGCGCAAAGCTGTTATCTTCAACAGAGCCATCTGATTCACTTCTCCAGCCTGATTACAGCAGCATTGATTACTGGCCATCCTCCACACAGATAATGTCACAGGCTTCTAATTGGCTACAAACAGATTGTCCGGTAATCCTCTCCTTTCCTTTGACCAATAAGTTCTACATATTATTATTATTATTGTATATATATATATTTATATTTATTCATACATTCTTATATATTTCTATACTGTGTATTTTGTTGTACAGTTATTTTATTTTCAACTTTAATTTATATATTTTATCTTATTCCTTCCCAGTTAAATTTACCCTTTTAAATTTTCATATTTATTTCCCATCTTATTCATAGCCTTTTTTTTCTTTAGGTCACGAGCAGTTGTGTAAGCATTTCACTGCATATCGTACTGTGTATGTGACAAATAAAATTGGAATTTGAATTTGAATTACCCCCAGCCAATTTCTGCTCTGCCCTGCGTGCAAGTAGATGGTAATTACAATCATCCAACTTGGAGAGCTTCCCTCTGCTTTTTAATAAGGAGGACCTCGGCTAGAGTGGAATCAGCTGCAGATGCAGACACACAGAAACACGCCGCCGCGGTCTACATATTAATTTATCACTTGTTAGTAAAACCAGAGCCAACAGCTCCGTGCGTGTGAGCGGCTCGGGCTTCTGTGGGTTCCGTCTTTTTCTACACCTGCTGAAGTGCATCTAAAAGCACAAGCGGCAAAGAAGAAATGCAAGGTTACGGGAAAGAGATGTCGCGAGGGTGAACGCGCAAGGCGAGCACGGTAAATTATCATTTAGATGTTTTGAACTGGAACATTAAATGGAATGCGGTCCCGCCTGGCGTCACGCAAAAATTCTAATCACCCACGTTATTTCACACTGCACTAGTTCCACTCCGGGAGGACCACCTGTGTGTGTGTGTGTATAAGCGCAGAGAGAGGACGTTCTGTGCTGCAAACCTACTAAAAGCCTGGCATTGGTTTCGCTGTGTTTGCAAACACAGATGACAACAGCAAAGACAAAGGGAGAGAAAGTCGTCGCTCATTAAGCCGTGTTTTGCTCTCACCCCGTGTCCCTCTTCCCACTTTCTAGAACACATTGTGATTTCGAGGGGGAGACGAGCGTGATGAGTTACGCGTTTAACTGTTCGCATCTCATTCTGTTGATATAGAGCTGCGATTGATTTCTCCGGAGGAAGAGTCTGCCACAGAGAGGCACTTCTTGTGCACGTGGGTGTACGTGAGAATTTGGGCATGCGTGCCGGCGTTCATAAAAAGGCTTTCGTCTGCTCGTCTCCTTCGAGAGCAGGATTTAATTGCGGTTTCTGTGCCCACCTGCATCGGAGGGCGCCGATCGATAATTATTGAGCACGTTCATCCAGTTGAGGATGTCTTGTGGACAGGGTTGGGGGGGCTTGTCTGACCTGAAGATTTAAGCGCTGTTGATGCTTAGCAATTGGAGTGGGTTTAAAAATAAAGAAATAAAAGGGTGATAGATTCTCCGTTTTCCTTGGCAGCATCTCATCAACCTGTTTGGATCTGGTGTGCTCTCTTTTTCCTGCTTTTATTGCTTTTTGCTGGAAACACCTTCTGCTGCTCGGGGGAAAAAAAAAAAAAGAGCTGGAGAGACTAAAACGAAGCAGTTTCTCTGTAGTTGAACCTTTTCATATTACATTTAACCATTTTAAACAGTGCTAATATAGAATATATATTTACTAAAGCAGTAATGACGATGATGAAAACATACTAAGTTCATCCAGATTTTCATCACAGTATTAGATGTGGGCGTTTATATTTTCCCCCCCTTGTATTGCACCATGCACCCCATGACCACATGTCAATCATTATTCTGATATATTTCCTCTAATGGAATAATTCATTACAGGTGCATAACAGTGCGGGGCATCATCTCCAGACACCATTTATCCTGCACAGGTGGCCTCACCGCTCTGTCTGAGAGGCTAGTTAGTCTGCTGATGGGCATCAGAACAAAGAGCCTGTAGCTGTCTGGCTCAGACAGGCACATTAGGAAACCATCATTACAACAATCTTCTCTGGATCAGCTTTTTGCCTCTTATGTCTGATATGATGGCCTTCTGATGTGGGACTGTTTTGTAAGGCTGTGTAGTGTGACACCTGCATGGCTGGTGGCATGTGGGTTTGATGACAATTATGTTCAAGGCCGCATACAAATGCACATTTAAAAATCCCACGTACTAATGGAAGGGCAGACAATTGTCATGATGTGTCATTTCTGAATGATTAAAGTCACAGTCACCTAAGTGATACATGTCAAAAAGATGAGAGAAGTTCCTACCTAGGTCATTATCCAGCTCCTCTGTATGTACCCCTTCTACTCAGTCGAGTGGACGGCACAGCAGCGCCACAGGATTGTTGTTGGGAAGGCAAAGGCAGGAGGGGTGGATTGAAGCAGAAAGACAAACATCTGTAAGTTAGGCGGCTGTAATAACAACATCTGGACACTGGGTGGCAAGATTTAACCAAAACCAGAGCAACAACCTCTGAAAAACCATGTTTACTAAAATCAGGCAGCACTAAAGACTGGATCTCTGAATGTGGTTTGACACCATAATGGAGTTGACCTTGTGACCTTTTCTTTTTCTGTATACTGTAACAATAGACTACAAAATTGGGGAAGGCAATTAATGGAAGGTGTAGGTCTTGTTGCTCCAAGAACCAGCTGGAAGAAGAGCAAAGGTGGCACCAGCCAGTGGACTGCACACCTTTTTCTGTGACCCAATACTGACACCTAAAGACTAAAAGGGTGAACCTCTCAGATGTGTTATGAGAGTATGAGGTTTTGGGTACGGTGTAGAAAAACATGCTCTAAACAACAGAACAAAACAAATGAAAAAATTTTAGCTTACAGAAGATTTTGCACAAACATTGACAGACAGACACATACCATCATCTTCAGATTCTTCCAGGGGTTTCTGAGGTTTGTCCAGGCACCGAGGGTCTATCCAGGAGGTCGTCCTTGTATTGTGGCTAAGCAGAACACACAAGACAGGCCAGACAAGACAAATTATTAGAGGGTAGCTAATAGACGTCGGAAATTTGACCCTGAAACAGGTGGAATGAATGATTTATAAAAAAGGAAAACGTGACACACGGCACTTGATCATTAACTGAAAGCCCTGAAAGTCAGGTCAATATTGCTGAGATTAAACAGGAAACATTTAAATCTGAGCAAAGTGGAATGCTTTTACCATGTTAATAATAGTAAAAAAGAACATTATGATTGTTCATTTTAATGGGTGTAGAGAAGAATAACACAGCTGGAAGAATCCTAAAAAGAAGAACAATATAAACATAAGTAAGTTACACTGGATATTTAAAGTTTTATGCCTAATATTAAGGAATTTCAAATCTATTAGAATCTGTTTGGCAAGTAACAACAGCAAGGAGTAAGGCATCATAGATGGAAAGCATGACCAGGTAATCTGTAATAAATTTCTCTCTAATTCTCTATCTTGCAGACTTTAAATTGGTTAAAGGTTCATGGCTGCAGGAGCGATGCAGGAGGAACTCTTTGGTATCCTGAATTATGCTTCATGTAGCCGCTGGTAATGTACGCTGCATTCGTTAAACTTTCATGCTTCCTAAAGCCTTCGAGTACTCTCCACAGCGACACACGTCTGTCACATTAAGATGAAACCTGGATCTGGTTTAGACGGTGCAGACGACGGTTAATACAGAAAGAGAGTCAGCCATGAGAAAATGTGTCGCGTTAGATAAAGTCATGTCCCATTTTAAACAAAGTTTAATCAAAATGAAAGGAAGCTTCATTCAGCCACATTGACAGTGAACACTGATAATATCTGATTTAAGAGTAAGCACTACTGGAATCCGACCTTTGGTACTTACTCTATAAAATAGACCTCTCCGTTCTCGGTATAGGCCATCTCCCAGTTGTCGGGCAGAGGTCCCAGCGGATCCTCTGGGGGAGGATGGCTCAGGTGAGTGTGTGTCTGCTGTGTGCTCTCCGTGGTGGCCGGTGGTGAGGGGGTTGTCCCAGCGTAGGACAGGTCACTCTGGCGGGGGGCAAAAGGGCGCACCGAGTGATGAATCTCGTCTAATTCACTAGAGTCTCCTGGAGGGACAAAAAACCCAGAACACACACACAGCCTGGTGTCAAAAATCTTTCAACTAAAGGACGCCAGTAACACTTTCAAGGAGCAACAAGTAGCTGTGAAAACAATAAGTTAACCTTGGGACAATGGTGTGCTGCATTTCAAGCTGGGATTTCCAAGCTACCAGTTGTCAACCGGAAAGCTCCCACCAAACCCAACTCAGCAATCCAACATGGCAGCAGTGCACGTAAACATGAGTGAAACTGTAAAACTTGCAATCTGCTGCACTACTGTTGTGTATCTGTGACTCGCTGAATGAGCCACACACAGAGCACTGACCGGACTTTACTAGGATGTACTCAATTAGGAAATTCCATTTGCTCTGGAAGATGGCCGAGGCAAATGGAACGCATCACGAAATCAACTAAAGAAAAGACAACTGTCTTCAAACAAACAAGTGCTCCTGTTGATTACACCGTTTTTTTTAAGTATCGTCACAAGATACAGTCTATTATGTAACCTTAAAGTCTGCGCGCTAATAGAAAAAAAACATTTCCTAATACATTAAGAATTATTGAAACATAATTTAAATGGGAGTTTGGAAGAATTCCAGTCATTTAGTGTATTTCTATAATGTTTTAAATTTCAATAGGAATAAAAACATCGCCTGCCTGAGCAGTCTGAATAATTTAAAGACTAAAAAAAATTTGAAAAAAGTTTCATGAGGCTGTAAAAATCCACAACTAGATGACAAGAAAGCCTCATGTCAGTGAGTTTTTGCACCTATTTATTGAATGAAATCAGTTAAGTTGCTATAGCATGTTTCCATTTAGCCCAATAACTTCCTACAGACAGAAGTACTTTGGGCTTGTTTCTTTCCTCCTTCAGTAAAGAATGCTGAGTGGGCAGTTCACGCCTTGAAAGTGCTAGCACCTTGCTTCCTGCCGGTTCATTTCCACACTCGCACTTGAGTGGCACTTGTCACACAATCACAGAGAGTTAAACAACTTCTGGTGCCACATTCGAAAAACACATGTCAGCCACAGCTTTAAGGCTGAAACTCCTTAAATTTCCTACTCACCGACTAACAAGGAAATCCCAGAAATTACTCCAGTTCATTTCTTTAAATGTCAAACAAGCAGCACTGCTGTCATTTTACCAACTTAAACTTAATTTAATGGACTATTTTCCCCCAAAATCAATTTCACATATGGAATCTGCTCAGGTGTCTAATGCTCGCAGCCAGATGGCACTATTTTACATGTGTGGATGCAGATACGCAGGCAGCAGATGCAGTCAGAGCCAGAGACCACTTACTCACCAATCAAAGAAGTTCTTGTATTCTGCAGCCCCTCTCCACAGCAAAGGGCTCTTTCTCTCTCCACTTCTTTTGTGCTTTCTCCTACTTCTTTTCTGAGCTTATCCTTTTTCACAGTATAAAAACCTCCCCTGCTTGTTTCTTTCTCCCTTTTCAGTAGTTTCTTTTTTAGACTTGCCCTCTTTCTCAGTCACCTCCTCTTTCTATTTAATTTCCTGCTACCTTCTCTCCACTTGCATTCGCCTCCCACTTTATCCATCAGCTCTCAAATGATTTTTCTCCCCCGCTTCTCCTCTCCCAAAAAATAAAAGAGTGAAAGAAAGTGATTCTCAGGCTGATCTGCAGGGTCTGTTTGCTTTGGTGTCCAAATCAGCTGAAGGAGCGGTGAGTCCCGTGAAACAAGGAGGAGTTAAAAACAACCACAGCTGCTAGCTGGTTACAGGCAAAGTGTGAGAAAGAGGAAAGATCTCTTTGAAAATGCAGATAAGCATTTAGAAGTGTCAGATGTGATGTATCACTTTGGGTCTTCTCTGTGAAAAGAAGGCAAATTTAATTTAGCTTTGGGTCTGCTGCCAGCCTTCTGGGTCCATTCTTTTATCTTCTGTCCAAAGTTGTATTAAAATGAATGTGAGACAAAAAAAAATGCTGCTCTTAACACCTGGCTTCAAAACATGGCTTACACGCATCTTGAGTGACCATTTGCTTTTTGATTTCAGGTGCCAAGCTCACACCCTGCTTGAGAGAAGGACACACACATCTGTGCTGAGCTGGCCAGAGAAGATGAGTGCACTGTGTGGTGCCACAGCTTGTGTACACAGCTACCAAGGCGTTAGTGCGGGCAAATCAACAGGTTTGGTATTCACATTATTTTATTTAGTATTTGCTTTTCTGGCTCCACTCTTATAGTATTCAATACTATATTGGATAGAAATCAATTATCAGTTCCTCCAGGAAACACTTTTCAGATTAATAATTTTTTATGGAGTTAAAATGAAATAAAAATGAACAGAAAATCTTTTGAGATGCTGATCTTATTTTGTCAGATCACTTATCTGAAGTCTAACGCCAATTTATGTAAAGGAGCGTTATCAGCAAGCAATCAAGTATTAATGTACTCAGTGTACACGCAAAAACAGTGCTCTGTCAGTGTTCCCTTCATGACTCAATAATGAAATATTCTCGTCTCATCAGTTGAAAATGTTAACCAACTATAGTTGTTATTCATTTAGAGTTATTCACTTCAGTCTCCCTCATGTCTTGCTAATCTGACTTGAGTAAATGGAACTTTGCAGATGGTTTAAACCGTGGCTCTTATTATACATTTGTGTCATAGCAGAGGGTTATTTTCTTCAACATGGCAGCGTCCTGACAGAGCCATACATGGTCATTTATACACGTGCTGTTGTACTCTTCACTAAAAGCAAACAGCAGAGCGCTTCTTCAATGCACAAAATCATGGAGATACAACGCTCAGTGTTACTCGAGTGTCAATCTAAACTTATAAGAGACTCTCCGCCCATCCGATTTCCTCTCCTTCCTCCGCACGTACCTGTAAAGCTGCTGTTCATGTCATGGAGGTCCTCGTCGTCCTCCTGCTGCTGCTCTCCAGGCACTAATCCAGCATTGTGCATGTCATTGTAGGACTTGGAGCGTCGGGGAGTGGAGTGCTGTGAGCCCGGCAGGCTACTCCTGAGCCCGTCTGGCAGTGGGGCATCACCGCTGTTACCACTACTGCTAATCACTTTCCCACTGGGGGGCTGCACTGGTGGCTTGGGTGTCCCATAATAGTTACCTAGGTGATGAAGGAGGCAGAAGGGAAGATGGGCGGGGATCAGAAAGACACAGAAAAGAGTAGTGGGAGGGCATAAGAGGAGGGGTCAAAGGGCCTATAGTGTGTGAGTGAAGTGTGTGTTGAAGGGGGTTTAGTCACAGTCTTTGTATGCAAATTGTCAAGTTGTGTTTGTCTGTGGGAGAATGCTAATCTCCAAAGCAAAACTGCTTTTGTTCTTTTTTTGTGTTTAATCTCAAAAAAGTTTCACAAGCATCACCCCCCCCCCCTTTTTTTATTTTTTATAACTAAACAGTTACTCTATTTCTCAAATCACTTTTTACTGCTATAGCTTAATTAGACTGATATTTTCTAAGTCAACCTTAAACACCAGTTTCTCAGATAATAGATACTCTGACACAGCACAGCACCTGCTTTCCTCCATAAAAATCCATTTCTTCAGTGCCAGCGAAACATTTTGGTTCAACTAAAAAATTCAAATTCAAACATACAGAAAATCACTCATGCTCATCCAAAGAGTAACCAGGCAGAGGTAAAGAGACTGTACCATCTGCAGACCAGCATCTAAAGCCACAGTCTTAATGAGCGAATGGTGTTTGCTCCAAAATATAAGTAAGCTATACTGAGCTAGTCTAATTATTTTGCATTGGCTTGAGTACAATTAATCAACCGTGCTCACAGACCTAAAGGATAAAATAATTAAATTCTAGAAGCCGATAAGAGTTACAGATGATACATAGTTTGAACTTTACATTATCAGACGTGAAGATATAATAACAGCGAAAAACCTTCAGTCAAACATGATGGAATTATCCAAGAGGATAATGTTTCTGCTTTTCTGTAAGAGCAAAACACCCAGGTTTACACCATGCATAGACTGAAGAAGGTGGACGGATGTTTACATACTGTAGTTTCAGTTGTCAGTTCTTATACGCAGTCTCGAACCACATTTTAGATCCTAACCAAGCTTCAGACTTTATTCTCACACACGTCAGACCTGTCTGAGGTCCATAACTGTATTTTGACAGGCATTTCAAAACATTACGTAATAGATATGATGGGAAAAGCAAACTACATGACAGTTGACTTGTCATGTTGCAGAGCTCTGTGTGTGCCCTCTGCTTAGTAGAGACACAGAGGCTTTTGTGCTCTCCGCAAGTTTCATTATGGGCGTATCTTTGTGTGGAAATAAATAAAGTTTAAAAACTCACTCAGAATAAGAGTAAAAGCTGTCTGAGATTTGTAAAATGGGTCCGTATTGAACAAATGTGCTGTGTAGCACGCCTGTGCCTTTGTATCTCTTCCAGGAAACTGTTAGCTCAGTACGGTATCTAAATGTTATTCAGTTAATCTCACACCTTTACACTGTGTCGCTTATTCAGAAAAATAGCAAAAGCTCAAACAAACTACAAAATGAGTCTTCTAATACAATACAAGCAGCAGGTTTTAAAGGGATTTAAACCCTGTTTGTGTTATATTGTTGTCGGTAGAGATGGGAGGCTCAATCTCCTGGTTCTACTTCTAAGATTCACCTGTCCAGGTGTCTGCAGGAGGGTGGGTTTTTTTTCCTTTTTACTTGGCAAGGTCCAACAAGAAGAGTCAACTACAGCAACCTTTGTAATTTACCATCATATGTTCCTATCTCCAAGAGGGTCCCACTTTTCTCCAATTCCAGGAATTGCTCTACTGAGAGGAAGTCGTAGTCCACGCCAGGAACTTCTCCTTCGCGTGGGGCACGGGTAGTACCTAGACAGAAAAACAGAGAGAAACGTAAAGTTAGACGACTTCTTTTTTTTCCATTTCATTATGTGACATTTCATCACCTTGGGAATCTGAGTGCTATGATGTCAAATGAACTGCCATGTGCACCCTTTGGGATTTCCCACACACACTTGTTCCACCTTCCTCCCCATAATCCTAATCTTTCTGTTCCTATATCCTCTCGTTTAAGTTGTGCATATATATCCACATGCATTAGAAGCCTCCATCGCAATTGGTGCAGAGCGAGTTGCAAACAGCAGAGCCTAAAAGAATGATTATCAATTGTCTGCTATGATGTTATTTCTCGGGTGGGGTGTGAAGTATTGTAGTGGCACCTCAGTGAGAGCCTGCCATATGTGCCGGGGTGGAATGGGAGTGTGTGTGTCTGTTTCTGAATTGGCATGCAGCCTGTGAAATTCTAGCACTTGCCTTTAATGGCTGCAGACAGTTGGCCGGTGTGGCACCAGCGGTAAACAGCTTTACACATGAAACGCTGTGTTTCTATTTAACCATTCAATGTTTGCCTGACTAATGTGATTTCCACGCTATTGTACACGCCGCTCTGAAGTTCTCTTTAGCGTTATCTCACTCTCTACCTAATTGATTTTATCCTACTCCAAAAATCGAATTATTCTGGCACAAATAAAAGCATCCAGTGCCCATGGCAAAATATCTTTGTCTTCTATTTAGTGACAGCAGAGGGCTTTCCCTGCTTTGCCTACTTCCCTTGAAACCCCTTTCTTCCATCTCCCGATCTGTCTTATCTTGCAATCATTTTGTCTCCAGTGGGCTGCTAAGCAATAAGCTGGTAAAAATAGATGTGTGAGAATACGGGGAGAGGCTCCCACTGCAGCCACGTTCGGTGACACTGGTGATAAATCACAGATGCGCACATCCTAACTCGAGCAAGCGTACAATGCACACAGAGAGTTTCCACGTCTGAAGATAATGAATCTCTTATACAAATATTCTTGACGTGCATCAACTCAATCATCTATTACAGTATATCGCCTATTCTATCACGGTTATATGCCATTGTATGAAGGACACAGACAGGGATAATCTTCTTGTGCATTACCAGAATTCGCAAGTAGCGCCCGCAAACATCTAATCGCTTGCGCACCAAGAGGAAATTGATTTAAAGTCAATCAGATACCAGTCGCTCTTTGCGCGTTCCCAGGCAGAATTTCTTTTTACCGAATGTCAACCGTAAAGAGTGCTCAGACAAGCCGGAGTGTCCAGCCGACTGTCAGTTCACTTCGCATACAAAAGCGGCCATTGATTCGACTCCATTTAGACGGTGCTGCTCTTAGAAAACTAAATAGGAAGAATTGTGACCAGTGTTTCAAAGGAGGTGTTTAAAAAAAGGGAGAGAAAAAAAGCAGAGCCTTGGCTTATACCCAGGGTTAAGACACTGTTATCGCTATAGGCCTAATTAATTCAATATCCCCTCCCCACAAAAGCTCCATTGACCAAACTGTGGAATGGTACGAGCAAGAAAGACAGGTTGAGAGCCGAGCATAGAGACTCCTGCGACTGTGCTAAGAGTTAATGTAATCCAGCTACTGGTGCACACAACGAAGCCTCCGAGATTTGTTGTGAGGGTGTTCATCTAAAGCTGGCTGCCTTGGGGCTTAATGGTTTCAGCGTATTCACGAGTTGAGTTGGGTAGGCGGGTGTTATGTAGAAAGAAAAAAAAAAAATCATCGTTAGCATTTCAGGAAGATGATCAAGGGAAAATGGTAAGACACTGGCAGTAACACTATAATGCTGGTAGTTCAGAGCTGCTGCCGCTGCATCAAAAACATCCCTCCAAGAAACTTAAAGCATTGCAGCCTGCAACTGTATGACACACACAGCAATGAAATACTGTTTTTTATAAGGAAAGAATAGAAACATTTAAGTCATTTATGCTTCTACAAGCATCCCGGGCCTGAGTTTCTGCTAATGAGAGGAATAATACAATGTGGGCAGGAAAGTTGCTAACTTGTGAGAGAAAGAAGTTTGTTTTCCAGTGACGACTCCTTTAGCTTCACAACTTCCTTGTCAAAAATAGGACCACATAGTTATGGCTCCATTAGAGAAAGCATGCACGATGTAAGGCTGATACTGAGCACTACCCATTAACGCGTTGCATCCCACTTCAAGATACTGCCACACTTGCCTTGAATACTGAACTTACCACTAACTGTGTGCAAATTCAGCAAAACACTACATTTCAAGCAATGTCAAGTTTCTTTTTCTGAAGTATGCAGTGGCTGTGACCAGTCAATCCCAAACACCTTACCTAATATCAATAGCTTCAAAACATATGTATACAACAGCCATCATAGAGGTTGTACACAACAAAATGAAGGAACTGAAGTCTTTTTAAGAGAACAGAATTCATCAGCAATCCATTTATAAAATTAGTGAGAATAAAAAGGTCTAAAAGCAAACACATAACCTCAACCTCCAAACACAATCTCGACAGAGCGAGTAGAAGGTTGTTAATTTTATATTAGATTAGTGTGTTAACTACCTTAATCTCCCACAGCTGAGCTAACACTTATTTTAGGTGAAGCTGCAAAAAAGCCAATAAGCCTGTGTTGGAGGGTCAGCGCGGAGGCTTGGGACTAGTTTTATTCAGCAAGGGGCTCTCTGCTGTGATTGGTGAAAATATAATAATACATGTCTGACTGAAAACCCAGACAACCATCTAAAGATAATGTTAAACCTTTCTACATTAACAAGTACGCAAGGGTATTCAGACCTGTCCTCACAGACACTTCACTACAAGGGCAACTATCACTGCTACTACTGCAAATGGAGTCAAAGAAGCGGTACTATAATAAGAAAAAACACTTGCCCATAATGAGAGCAGGGGTCCGTGTGCATGTCTGCACACAGAGCAGGTCAACAGCCTCAAAAATACTGTCACTGTCATAAGTGGGGTTTTTTTGTTTTTTTTTAAAAAAGTGTGGCTTTAAAGCTCTGCTGGTTTTTAATTTCTCCATTACCTGAAAGTGCTTTCACTAGAGCTTATATTTGTGTGTTAATATGTGTATGATTGTTGTTTAGAAATATGTACACAAATTTTATTAATTACACTTGTTCAATTGCTCTTTAATTCACATTTCTAATCAACCAATCACATGGCAGTGCATTCGGGTGTGTAGATATAATCAAAGCAACCTGCCTGAGTTGAAACGGAGCGTCAGAATGGGGGAATAGAGGTGATTTAAGTGGTTGGTGCTGCCAGATAAACTCTTGTGAGCATTTTAGGAACTGCTGATCTACTGGGAGTTTCATACACACAACAATCTAGAGGATTTAAAGAAAATAGTCTACAAAAGAAAAGATTTAATGAGCAGTGATTCCCTGGGTGAAAAGTCTTTCTTGGTGTCAGAAGAGAAAAACACAGAATGAAGCAGATGGTCTAAAAGCAGGAAACCGAGGCTACATATTCACATGGGCTAGGACATGAGAAGACGGGAAAAACGTTGACTGGTCTGATGAGTCTTGATTTCTCCTGCAACATTGCTGGGGTCAGAATTTGGCATAAACAACACTGAAGCAACCGGTTCATACTGCTGGTGCAATCGGGTGGGAGATTTTTTTTTTTTTAAGCACACGTTGGGCCCCTTAGTACCAACTGACCCATCTTCTGATGGCTGCTTCCAGCAGAATAACACACCATGTCACACAGCGCAAATCATTGGAAAGTGCTTTCTTGAACATGACAGTGAGTTCACGGCACTCAAATGGCCTCCACAGTCACTGATTTCAATCAAACGGGGCTCCTTTGGGATGTGATGGAACGAGAGATTCACATCGTGGATGTGCAGCCGACAAATCTGCAGCAGCTGTGGGATGCTGTCATGTCAATATGGATCAAAATCTCTGAGGAGCATTTCCAGCATCTTGTTGAATCTCTGCCATGAAGAATTAAAGCAGTTGTGAAAGCAAAACTGGGTCCAAACATGTACTTGCAAGATGTAACTAATAAAGTGGCCATTAAGTTATATGCAGTATTTTTTTTTAACTTGGGGCCCACTTGCAAGCAAGATCTTGATCGCAATTAAACTTCTTAATTAAATAAATAAAATAAAAATATATTTGCATATCCTCCTGGTAAAACAAACCACTTTGTGTAGGATCAAGACTTTTTGCGCATGTTTGTGTGAACATATGGAGCTGTGCGTAACCTTTATTCCTTCCTGTCCGTCTGACTATCCGATTGTCTGTTCCTTCCCACAGATAAGAAACCAGCAAGCTGAGCCCAGCAGAAGGTTGACTCAGATACCCACAGTCGCAAGCCTGTCTTCTGGCTCGTATGTGAATGGCAAACATGCACACACACACACACCTTTTGGCCTGTAATAGTATAAACAGGTTTGAGAAGGAGACACTTCCTACTCAGTGTCCTTGTCATAATCAGCAGCTGTTCCCCCTCTGCCAGCCAAAACATACATATGTAAGTGCCCGCACACAGACAGTGGGGAGGGAGGTGTCACCAAATGGCATGGTCTACGGATAACGGGGGTGTGGGTGGAGGGTAATCACCTAATGGAGCTTTATGCAACGATCTCCTTTGCAGCACACACATACACTCATAAACACCGCTTCATTATCATAACAGCTACAGAGGGGGCGCTGCCCTGTCTAAGCCGTGTACCACCTATGGTGACCGGATCAGACTCTACGAGGAGAGCAACTTAAATTCAGCACATCTGTACTTATTGGGTGCGGGGTGGAATGGATATTGGCCACCTTTCCTAAAAAATGTTTTTTGAAAAGTCAATGATCATATTGCTTCGATGCCCCTTAACTTACTGGCCAAATAATTAAGAAAAGTAAAAGCAGAAGGTAGACAAGAAGCAAAAAGGGAGACAGAAAAGATATACTGAAAGCATTCAGATGAGGCAAATAGTCAACATGGCACCCAAACTAGAACAGGTATTTCCACCCAAAAAATTTGATAAATTAAATAAACAAAAGTGTAA